GACTGTGCAATATCTAAAAACCGCAGATTCAATATTGCTTCTAGGATCTTGTATGACATATCTAGTGACCATCTACCTGTGGTTCTGGAGGCAGGTAATAGGCATTTCATGGAAGAGGAAGCTTCTCTAAGGAAAAGAGTTGATTGGGAACTATACAAGTCATTTATCAAAGAGTTTCCCAGTGCTCCGGTCATACATGATGAGAACGGATTAAAGCTCAATCGGAGTGGACGAGTTTCGTTCACCAAACTCTACAGCGTGCTGCTTCCAGTGCTACCAGTGCAGCGACACGGCAGACCTTTTTTCCTGCTGGCATCCGGCAGAAAATTTTCGAAAAAAAGGCTGCGATTAAGCAAGCAAAAAGGTCTTGCCATCCTGATGACACTAGAAGAGCAATGAATCTAGTCACGTGAGAAATGCACTCAGTTTCCTCTCTGGCGGGGATGCTTGACTCAAGTATTCCACTCTGGAAAGTGCCAAAGCAGCTGAGAAACGGAAGGCAAGAAGAACTACCACATATTCGTGGTCCAGGATTCATAGTCTTATAGCTTTTAGGACTAAGGATAAAGTGGAGGTTTTTTTTGACGTCATGGAAAGGCTGTTCTCTCCCATTTATGTTCTGGACAATAACCTTGACGAGGAACGACAAATTATGAGATCTGTCACGAGATATTTTAGAGCAAATGTCAATGTCAAATGACAATAACGTCAGTGCTAAAATCGGTGACGCCTTTTCAGAAGATTTTTATATGGAAGACTTTTTAGATAAACCTCTACATAGCACATCAGCTAAACCCTCGGAAATTTCGTTCTGCACACGCAGAGCTCCAAAGCCACATTAAGGACCTAAAGGTGCGTACAGTGTCTGGAGAAGGTCAAATCACCAACAAAGCACTGAAGTTGCTTTCGCTCAAGGCTTTGATTTATCTGGTGGCAATAATCAATGCAATGCTGAGAACTCAGTACGTTCCTAAGGCGTGGAAGATTGCTGACATGATCATGATCCCACAGAAGGTAGTTTCGATATCCCCTATGATCACCATCCCATTAGCCTGCTGACAGCTCCTTCTAAGCTTACTGAAAAGGCGATTTATCGACACCTTGAAAATTTCCCGCCAGATCACCATGTGGTTCCTGACGTGCAATTCGGATTTCGATCTGAGCATAGTATAGAGCTACAGGCATTTGGACTGATAGAATATCTAGCCAGAGTGTTCACCCTCAACAAGAGTACTGGTATCTTGCTTTTGGCTGTATCAAAGACATTTGACAAGGGCTTCTTGTATAAGCTCATACAAAAGGGCTTCCCATTTTGGCTACAACACTGTTGAAATCTTTTCCACGAGGAAGGAAGTTTCGGATCAAAATTAACAATATTTTGTCAACAAGACGGTGTTCCTCAGGGTTCGGTCTTAGGACCAATCCTTTATTCACTTTATATACATGACGTCCTTGTCCCAGTGTCCCACTAGTAGCCCAGTCGTGTTCTGGTAACCGGTTATGCAGAGTGCGGTAGAGAAAATATTGGAGTGGGCGGATCGGTGGCTGATCAAAATTAATAATTCGAAAACGAAGGCGACCTATTGTAATAAAAAACGTCTCGATGCCCTATCGGAGATATCAGGAAATGGAACTCGTATATCATGGGAACAATCTGTCAGGTACCTTGAAGTCATCATTGACAAGGGGTTGATCTGGTAGAATACATTGAAATTTTCAAAAGTAAATTCCAAATTACGATTCGTCAGCTTTATCATTTGTTGTGCAGAAATTTAAAATTAGTTCGATCAACAAGATTCGGTTATATAAAATGGTTTCTTGCCAAGACGCATATGCAAGTCCTGCAAAACAAAACCCTACGCACAGTCACCAAAGCCGCTTGGTACGTGTCAAATGAGACCATACACAGAGATCTTGATATCGCATATCTAAGAGATTATATAAAACAACAGGCACAGCGGCATTATAGTCAAGCCGAATCGCACAGCAAGCCTCTGTTGCGTGATTTATTAGACTACACAGTCGAGCAAGTTCGCAAACATTCCAGGTCGCGTCTCGCACTGTGATCAAAATTAAATTGTTAATTTAAGACCAGCCATAGTTATTTCAATTTATAAAACCGATAAAAATAATTTTTTCTTTGGAGTTACAAAATTATTCGAGTAGCCAAACCAATAATGCTTAATGCTTAAGCTATTTCAATGATTTATGTGACTTCTTCTGTTTGCTCAATTTATTCCTTTCTTTCTTTCCTTCACTCCCTTTTCCCCTTAAACATCTTTGGTATCTGGGTAGCCAGACCTGGCAGACTAACAGACCGACAAGGCTTTTATCTAAGAGCAAAGGTCCACAGTGACGAATATACAGCATCAAATGGCTGGACCGCTGGACCAATTTAGACCAGATTCAGACAATTGCCCTTAAGTTTATGTTACCCTGAACATAATGTTTTATCAGCAAGAAACTCCGAAACGTGACTGTTTTGGATTCGACACCTTAAATTTCACATAGACGGTGCGGCGTATTCAAGACCCCCTCCATGTTAACACACCAACTACACAAGAGATGAAAAATCGTTTTCTCGTCGGGCCCGGAGAAAAATGAAAAGCATCGGGGAACATTAATAAGCATTATTATCAGGTTTTTCACGTAATGTCGACGGGAGAAAGTTATTTTTGGGTTGTCAGCGTCACGTTATTGATAGTCCGCTCGGTCCCGTATCGGCGGCATGTATAGCGAAAGGTAGTGTTTGATGAATATTTGAGCAGAGAATTTAATATTCAGGGTGTCATTGAATTTAGGGGCGAGTTTTAGGTTCACTGGCCGTCTTCTACAGCCTAAGAATATGCGATTACGACATTTTTTCATGCAAAAAAACTAAAGGAGGTGTTGCAAAATCCAAAAAATCCGAAAATCCAAAATCTTTTGACTAACCTTCTCTATATGCGTATCCCATTTGCAGTTTTGCGATTTGTGTATTCCTAAAAATTTTATAATTTCTGCTTGTTCCATGGATCTACCGCTTGATTTTATAAGGAGACTACGATCCATGTGCATATTAGAGTAGTTAAATCTCAGGAACACTGTCTTTTTGTGGTTTAAGACCAGGCCATTAGTAATGAACCATTGCTCTGCACTAGCTAAGCTTGTGTTGGCATTTATTATCACTGACTCCAGGTTTTTCCCATTAATAAGTAATGAGGTATCATCAGCATACATTACCGAGGATTTGGCGGGAAAGTCATTGACATATATTATGTATAGGAGGGGACCAAGTATGGAACCCTGTGGAACCCCTGTATGATATTGCTGGTCAGACTGTGCAGTCAGTACTTCAACATAATGTTTTCTGTTGCTTAGATAAATGTGGAACCAGTCAAATGGCTTACCTCTGATTCCATATCTATCCAATTTATCCAAAAGTATTACGTGGTCAACTAAGTCAAAAGCTTTGCTAAGTCAAGAAATATTCCTACACACTTTTTGCCATTGTCCATTTTCAAATACAGTTCAAGAAAATGAAGCACATCATTTTTGGTTGACAAACCTTTTCTGAATCCAAACTGTATGCTACTGAATAATTTGAAACTGTCAAAAAAATGAATATTTGTAAGGAAGCATATTTCTCGAATACTTTGGCAAAGGGACTAATTAGGGAAATTGGCCTAAAATTACAGATGTCGTGGTTATGACCAGACTTGAACAAGAGCTTAATTTTTGCAACTTTAAGTTTATCTGGAAATGTCCCCTCCTCAATGGAACAATTAATTAGAAATGCTAGAGGTTGGCTAAGGAAACTAGATGACATTTTTAGGTCGAAAATAGAAAGAGTGACTGTTTCTATTTATATTATTTCCATTATTTCCTGTTCCATTACGTTCATAGGAGCCTGAAATATTATTAAAATGCTGCATAAATTTTTCGGCAATCTCTTTTGGTTCGGTTATTATTTTATTTTCTATGTTTAAGTTGATGATTTCGTGCTTAGGTGTTTTTCTGTTTTCGTTTATTACATTCCAAGCACTTTTTGTTTTATTTTTTGCATTTAGTATCATTTTGTTGTAATATAGTCGCTTAGCTGCCCTTAAAACTCTGGCATATACCTTTTTATATTTTTTATAGAACTCTATAAGAAATACGTCTCCCGTCTTAGACAAATCATACAGATAGTGAAGCTTATTACCGAAATGTTATTTTCATCTGTTTCTGCAGATGGCTATTTTTTGCTAAAAATGTTGAGACTTCTTTCAGGATCATTGCTCAAATTTACCATAGCTCAATAAGTGCCTTGATTCAGGTCATCAATGATCTGCAGATTGCTTGGATAGAATCGATACAAGGCAGATGCAAGATTGCAGAAAGAAAAACGTGCTTGTAACAATTCTAGAGTTTCCATCGCAGTATTGAACGTGACCCCATCTTCTCGAAGCGACGTATTGTCAGGATACATATTGCCCAATTAGCCTTATAGAAAGGCTCTTAACACTTATCGTTTCAAACGGTTATGTTTATAGAAAAAACTAAAGATAATGGTCTATAATTAAATTGTTCGCTCTGTAAATTACACATGCGCTCTGTCAAATTTTCATTCCAAGTAGTTTGGATTGAGACACCCTTTATGTACTTTGAAGCGATGACAACCCACACTTATATTTGTAGTTCCACGACGAATACTTACGGCATATCGCAAATCTCCCAACAACTACGACGTTGCACTGTACCTGACATTGTTTATGATCTGTGTAAATCCCTGAGCCTGGTATAATTTAATGTTTTTTCTAGTCAAATGAAACCACATGTGTGGAAATTATTATTCACTGACGTTTGCGCCACCATGGTGGCCTCTTTCAAAGTAAACATCTGTACACTAGATGTAGTACCATTAGCTCAGAAAAACATGGAGTTATATCGGCATTAAGACTACAGGGTACGTATGAGATGTAACATAAACTCTAAGCATACTATATACATACTATAGACAGATAGCTTTTGTAATCTACCTTCATCATAGCCATGGCATTGAGAGCTCTTCATACACTACGAGATGCAGACATGAAGTTGAGTTCTGTGTGTGTTTTATGAAATTTAAGTCGCAACCCACGAGGAATATTTTCCGTGCATGTGATGATGCAATTTTCCTCTCCCGTGTTAATCTGCCATATGCATGATTTTGCGTGAAACCATAAGCGTTCACGATAAGCAGGCAGCCGCCGTAGCCGAGCTTCATCATAGATGTGACCTTGAAAGCTCGCCACACGTTTTGAGACTGCCGCACGCATAAGAGTTCTGTGAGTACCGTCATGTGCGCGATATGAGATGCACAAACCCGTGATACCGTCGTGCATTGAGCTGACATATTGTTTTTGTGTTAGATGTGTTGTAGTAGAACGTTTAACCAAATATAGGTCTCAATCCGCACAGGTCAATTCCACGAGGAATATTTTCGATGCACCCGATGGATGCAAATTTTTCTCTCCCATGTAAATCTGCCAACATCGACGACGATGCACCGCACCTCATATTATTCATGATTTGTGTAAAACCATAAGCGTGTACCATAGGCAGGCAGCTGCTGTAGCCGACCTTCATCATGACCAGCCATCTCTCTGCTAATTACATTTCCATAATTCACTTAATATGCAAATACCCGTCTGGATGCCAATGGGCTACCATCCAGAGGTTTTTTGTGATTTATTTTTTATTATTTATATTTCGCGCGATGCGACGGTGCAACTGATTTCCGGGGTGATCAAATTTTAGAAAAATATTAGGAAAATCGCAAGGCGGATACGTTGAGACATGTGTAAGCGATTTGTATCACGCGGTGGTTTTGGTCGACTATTGACATGCTGTTTCACTAGATACTTGCAAGATATACCTGAAACTTTGTACACATATACTCAACAGCAAAAATTAATGTGTAGCTGCATTTTTGGAAACTCTATCTCTAAGAGGATGAAACAAGGGGTGGAAAGTTCCCATTAAGTTTAATTCCTTCTTAATGTTGGAAAATGATGTGAAGTATTTTTTCATTTATCAAGAATGCGCCAAGTCGTGAAACTGTGGCAATCATACAGTTGGGAAGTGTTTGTCTAATGTGATGTACCTACAGAATCAGACCCTCTTTTATTTAATGATAAATTCAAAATCAACTGTGTGGGCAGAATAGCCAGTTTTGTGAATAATTCTACAATACTATAGAAAGGGCAATACTGCTATGATGCAATCGAGAATGACTTTTGTAGAATCAATCATTTCCTACCCTTCACATCATATGCAAATCATCTACCCGATACCTAATTCAAATCTTTTATTTAAGATACACAATACAAGTTTGACAGATATCAAGTATTTAGGGATTTTCGTAGACCAACATTTAAAAGTGGACATTCATGCAGCCATACATTCAAAATAAAATTTCTTGTTACATCCAAAATTAAATACCTCACAGAAAATTATATACGTACTATATAATACTAATAGAGCCGTAAGGCATATTAGCGTGGGGTACAGCATGTCCAGCATATTTAAAATATATAGAAGTTTCACAGAGAGCGGGCTTGAAAGCTTAGTTTGGAAAAGCAAAATTATATTTAACAAATGATTTATACTACGGAGCAAGATCATACAATCAGCCATTATCACGAAGTTATTAGAGAGCGCGTTAAAATCATACATCGCTATGATACTCGATATAAATGACGTGCAAAAACTGTTCTCAACCTTCATAAGGCCTATTTGGCTCTAAGATTACGGGAACATGTACCCAAAGGAAAAACAAATTTGGAAAACATTTTGAAGATAACTTATTAAAATGGATACTCGCAATAAAAAGACAACATATTATTGAACTCATATCAAATATTTATTAAAACGTATATATGCAAATCTTTGGAAACTCCCTTTAACTTTCTTTTAACTTCCTTGTTTCCTTTAACGTCACACGTTCCAGCATACAACTGATCCATGTTCAGGCATTGCCTTTGTGTTGCCAAAACACAGTTATTTACACATTCTATAATGTTCTCATTGTTATTAGTTTCTGGAGTAAATGGATATCTACTACTACTCGTATTCCTTATAGCTCCACATAACTGAAACTGTTATCTTTTATTACGCTCTAAAGGGATGTTTATTGAGAAAAGACGCATTTCATTATAATGTTGCGTATTTCATATATAATTTACATTGTCGAACGTTGGTGCAAAGTTTCAAGTAAATCAATCGAAAAAAAGTATCATACAAACTTGCAACTCCCAAAAATATTGGATTGCGAATTGCACGACTCTTATCGAATGGTATCTATACATAGTTTTAAGTGAAGAAGTCCGAAAATCAAGAACCACAAAAAACGTTTCACCTCCCATTTCACCCCCTCATTGGGCGGATTTCCAAAAGCTCCTTAGCGCTTTAGGTTCTTTCTTTAGAAAAGTATTTTTCGGTTCCAATAATACTCAACGGACGGAGTTGTAGGAAATTGAACTCTCGATAGATGTGTCTAAAAATAACGACCCCAGAAAAAGAAAACTCATTAATTGAGGTTGATCTTGGAATTTGTTCATTGTCGTTGTTGTTTATTGTGATGAACAGCTATTGCAAGCAAACTAAGATTCTCTCTATCTAGCTTAAGCTCGATGAATGTAGCTCTATAATTCCGTACGGTGCGTGCAAAATTCTTGATACAATTAAAATTTTAAAACCAGTACTACCTTTAGTACTATCTCGTAAAGGGAAAAATTGTCGCAAACCCAAAGGGAACTTTTTACCAATCTTTACGCTAAAACCTAAATCTATGCGTGTGTGAAGCCGCGGGTATAAACTCAGTGAGTTATATTTTTGCCGCCGTACACATTAAATTAATTACAAACGTGGACATCCTGTATAACAGCGCCTATTTATTATGGCTTGAGAGGTCTAAGCCCAGCAGCCCGTCACCTCCAAGTGGTATTTATGACTTATGTAGCTCGGAGACGGCTTGGAGGTTTACAAAGTCCGACCTACCGCCCTCTTAAGGGCATTCCAACGACTCGCAAGTTGTTGCCCGTAGCAAAAACCGACGCGGCGAATTATTCCGGTCATATTTCCTCGTAAATTGTCCTAAGTTTTGTTCGTGGCCACCGACTGTTTCATGGCTTGCTCTTGCAGAGTCTTTAGCTGAAGTTTGGCCCGCTTATGGGTCAGTCGTATTAGCACTTCTATCGCTAAGGATCGTCCATAAGACTTTGGGGCTCTGAAGATACTCAAATTCTAAATTGATTTTTCTATCTAAATGAATTTTAACGTTTGATCAATATTTTTCTTTTTATATTAGCATTTGTTTGTACCTTAAAATTGTAAGGTTCGCAATTGTTGTATTTGTATCTAAAGTTCAGCCACTTTCAAGTACTTAAGATATAAATAAATTATAAAACATAGTGGGTTACAAAACATAAGAATATAAATTTGTATTGGCAGGGTTATAAAGTTCTTATAGGGAGCTTTAGAATGAAGTAATATATGACACTCACATTATATTTAAGTGTTTCAAGATAGTGCGCAGTCAATTGGCAGGTTTTCGTTGAAATGTATTTATTTTGTAACCCCTAGTCTCATATCGCAATTGTAAGGCTCTTTCTTATAGCCTTGAATTTCAGTTTAGCGTTTAAAAAAATAAGCAGAAGAGGGCGAGGTATATTTATTTCAGCAGTAACATTGTAGAAATTGCAAACCAATAACGAATGCTCATGTGGCTTATTGTTGTTTATCATTGCCAACCAACGCAAACATGAATAGCGACATCATCATATATAAAAGTCGCCGAGTTAAAAGTGAAGAGAAAATAAAATCAGTCTTTCTTTTCCTAAAATATAATGAGTCCTCGCTCCGTGTGCCAGACTCGAATATATAATCCGCTTTCGGAGAAGCCTCTCCTTTATATTGAATCGTTCTTTCATCGGGTATAATTATTGCGCTCCGCCTTCATCTCTCTAGTATCCTGCTATTAGAGAGCATTTGACGAGTGTATTTATCAACGCAAATAATTTTCAGCTTTACATTTTACGGTAAAATGAATATAAAAATGAAGCACTTGGAGAAAGAGGCACACGTTTTTAAGGGGCATCGGTCACATTTCGGGGTAACATTCATTGCCTCTTTTAGACTAAAGATCGGCATTAAGAGTAGACAAAGAACTTATCGACATGAAAAGATCCAATTGTCTGCTTCTAGAAAAACTTTATTAAGATTACAGTTTACGTGACAGGTGAAGCACATGAACGCACACACACTCATTCAAAAAAAGTGAACAAGTACACACAGTAGACGAGGTATTTAAAGGAGATATTCAGATATCCTTAGGAGCCGATTTCACAATTTAACAAACTATTATTTTCCACCAACAGGGTACGGGTACTACACAGGCAGTCAAATATCCGCCACATGTTTGGCAACAAATAGCATCAAAGTATTTAAAACAAAACACTGTAAAATATGCAGTAACAGCTTGTCATTGAAATGTTATCAGTTTATTAAATAATACGAAATTATATAAAATTGAGCCAAGGTCTCTAAAATATGCTTGACGTCTGAGTAAAATCCATTTTTTATCAGTTTGTCTGAAGGCTTCTCCATGTTTATCGCAACTTTTGTAATCCATATGTGATTATACTAACTTAACATCACCTACCATGTGTTTATAGTTTATCCAACATTTGCAAACTTGCACTTCCAAACCCTTACATGAAAAAGCATTTTCACTCAAATTTTTGTTAGATGTTGCGTTTCAACACATTCATACACTTCTTCCCAGTTCCTCAACGACATTTTAACACTACTGGTCCGAAACTGTTCAAGATTTTCAACATTCATACAATTGCATTTGCATTTGCTTTTTGTTTTAATTTCAGTCGCATCATTGGTAAATAGTGCACTCAATATAACCACATATTTGGGGGTTATGGCAGATTTAACGTGTACACGACAGTGTAATATGTAATTCTCTGCACAAAAAAATCTTGGACAGAACACTTTTTATACCGAAATTTGGACTTCCAGAATTCCATTTTACACAAATATCTCGGAGCCAAATAACACAACAAGTGACCACAAA